TGTTTCTTTTGTAAAGCCTGAAATCTATCATTTCATTAAGTTTAGTTAATATATTCCTCTCCAACTTATTACCACCATACGTAAAGGACAAAGCCATGTATACTTTGAAGATGCACGCACACATATACGAATATTTAAACGTAATCATACGATATAAATCTATGGAAAATAAGCCATTTTCATTCATCTCAACGAATAGCACGTACTTCTTTTGGACTACCATCATCTTAATCATTAGTGGGAAACTAAATTTGTTTAAAGATGCAAACTCATCAACACATTCAAAGTAATAGGGTCATGAAAGCCTATTGACTGTCTTTTTCAATATATATTTCCTGTTTAATATGTTATTAATACCCCTTCTTGATACGTGTGAAAGTAAATAGATTTAAATATAACTTGTTCTTTTACCTCTTCATGTAAGTGTGCAAAGCATGCCTGAAGTGGATAATTCCAATTACATAAGAAATATTGGTGAATATGTAGAGCCAAAAAAAAATGATGAAAAAAAAGGATTCTTGATTAGTGTTATTATATTTTAATAAAGTACCATCTAATAAATAAATAAATATGCATGTTAACAATTGAGTCTATTCTGTAAAAGGTACTCCTTCTACAATACTCAAATCTCTGGTTATATTTAACCGCAAAAGTCTCTTCACACATTTACAAGAATAATGGGAGAATGACATACAAATCTACCATGTAACGAGTGATTAATGCTTTAGCATTAAGGAAATGAAAAACATATCACAAATAATGGTAAGAAAAAAAATCGAAACGCTAAGATTGAATTGCAAACTTAAATTAATATATATATCTGAAAGCAGAATCTTATTGAGGATTGAGAATGTGAAAAACGTGGTTTACATTTATATACACATTTAGTCATGTACAAAGAAGTAATGTGGAAACCATCACACATCACTCCAAAGCAGGATTTAAACTCTTGACCTCATCCAATATATATACATATATAAACCGATATTTGTTCACTGTCAAATTCTTGCTATGATCACACTAATTCTATTCCCACCCCCTTCCCCCTTTTTACACAAACTCATTTGCGTTATTATCGGTGCGAATGGGAAAGGGTAGCCACCTCCGCCAAAATCTCTTCTCTTCGCCAAAGAGCGCGCACTTATACTCCGCGAGACGTAACTTTTCATTTTCCTTCCTCTCTAAAGTCTCCGCGAGGCAAGTCGTGGCGTCAGAAGGGTCCCCAGAAAAGTCATGTGCGCGTCTCTCGCTGCGTTTCTGCCTCCGTCGAATCGCGGCGTCCATTGTGCCCCTCCCCCGCCGCACACCGTTTACATGCTGTAGGTAAAACATCAAAAAAGAAAAGCCTAGAATCCCAGATAACACCAACAACGCGAACCACCACCATACCTTCCCTATGATGTTCGCAGGATCGAGCAGAAAAATCCCAATTGCCACCTCCATCATCGAGGTCAACCACATCGTGGATAAATAAAAAATAAAGAGAACGAACAGTTTGTAGTTGTTTCTCCCGATGCAGTTATTCACCCACGGACAGTGATGATCCATACGATAAACGCACCGCTGGCAGATCCGGCAGTGGTGGGCGAAGTCGGGCATGTATAACTCACAGCGCGCGCAATAGCGAAGTGCCCCGGTGCGGTGATCAAGAACCGAGACCACAAACCCCCCTTCTGTCGTGGAAGAAGAAAAAGGAGGAGAAGGAAAAGAATGGACAAGCAAAGGCGGAGGGTAAAAAGCCTCCCCCACCGCCTCTGCCGCTGTGGGGTTATTTTCGTTTGTAGGGGCCTCCCCGCCGAGTGGGCACCGAAGCCGAGGCCGGGGTTCATATCGCGGGGGATCCCGCCAAGGTGTCGGCAAAACATACCCCGGCGATGTCCCCACGACCAACAGAAACGACCAAAGCGCAAGCCCCACCAACAAAAGGTAGATCAGGAGGAAACTTAGGCCCAAGGTGATGCGAAGTGCGTCCGGATAATGGATCATCAATGTAACAAAAAACTGCACTTGTCCGACTACAAAGGCAAGGATGATCAGGACCGCCAACGTGGGTAACAGATATCCCCATAGGAGGGCGCAGCAACCGCAGAAACCAAGCGTCCCCTCCGCGCGAGAGTGGAGGTTCCGCACTGGGAAGTCGCAGAAGGCATTGGACATCAATAGAATCCTATAGAAAGCTATGGGTCCTACGATATAAACACAGACGTAAGGTCCTTTCTCAAATAAAGTAAAAGAGCCCAACAGAGATGGTGTAGGACACTTGTGAAAATTATTCATTGATAGGAATAAACAGAGACAACACACCCCTGATGATAGAGGGTTAGGCACCACGGTTAGGATATCCGATTAAAGCCAAAGTAAACCATGTTATTGGGTATTATAAAAATAAAATACCTAATAAACAAGGGTTAAAAAAAAAAAAATGTTGTTGACATTCATAATCAACGACTATTAAATATAGAATACACATTTTAAAAAAGTAAGCCATGCAAAGTAGTCCTTAAATGATCTACAGACATGTTGAATCCCAATTATCATTACCTTCTTCTTTAAAGCTATGTTAACTACCTCTTCATTGTATGTAATGAAGAAAGTTTTCATGGTTAATAATCCTGACAAGAGGCATGATAATCGAAACACTTGAATTGATAATAATCCTCATAAGAAAATAATAAAAGAAAACTTTCTTTCGTTAAACATAGAAAAGAAAAGAGCCATAATGCCCTAGATTACGATAAAACTTGTAAACAACAAAAAAGGCACACTCAAAGAAGAAAGGAACTAAAGATTCACATACAGATAAATATTGCTTATTCTTTTTAGAAGTGCTATAGGTGAAAATAAAAAAAGCGTAATTTCTGTGATAATACCAGTAAAACAATGGCACAATAATGCTATTTTACTGCAATGATTTTTTAAAAAAACGTGAGATTCAACAAACCGCAGTCGAAGATGTGGGCTGCTGTAATACGATCAACAGTTGTTTGAGTACATAAGAAGAAATAGAGCATGTGTAGAAAAGAAAGGTCGCTACATTCATTTAAAACGCTTCGAACAAGATTCTCGAAATCAAATCCCCTTAAAAGGAAAGGGAGTAACATGGTGTTGTACCTATCAACGCGGCATATGAATTCCTAAGGAAATGATTGCTAAAGAGTTTGAGTGACGGTAGTTTTTACAGAATATGTGCAGCCTCTAGATGGAGTAAAATAAAATAAGTGCCGCATAAAAGCATAATAATTCCAGATCCTCATTTCTAACATTCATCTTGGAGTCCCTAACTTCGTATTCGGGTATAAAGCATTCACAAAAGAGGAGAAACCCCCTCATGATGGGATTGGTTTTTTTCCCTCAAGCCTGTGGAGAGGAACATTTGGTGGTGACTAAACCCTATTAACGCACTTCCAAAAGACTAAAATCCATGAGTATATATGCATCAAGTAATGAAAAAACGCTCCCTCCCTGCAATGGTTTGCTTTGTCGGGAGCACCCTATCAAATGGAATATAAGAAGTGAAATAAGTTTAAACAGATAAAGACAGTATATATTTATATGTATTTATATCTACATATAGATCAACCTCTATTGCTTTGTGAGCAAAGCATAGCTATACACATCATCATATTCACAATGGCGCACATACACATATTTCACTATTATTCGTATACTTCAGGTGACCATTTTAGACTTTCTAATAACTTATCGTTTTGTATCATACACTGGGATAAAGATGATAAACTCCAGTAAAGTAATTCCGATTTTTTTCCATTATTAATAGGTACCTAATTCTACCAAATGCATAAAGGATTTAGTTCACCTGTAAGCAGAGTGAACTAGAATGGTAATATAATATTATAAATATAAATTAAGAGCTTCAAAAGCGCTAAGGGGTTTTGATTAGAAAACAAAAGGGAAATATATCCCTAAAATAAAAAAATATCCCTCCACAAACTTCATGCTTCTCCATATCTTGGATTTCTCTACATAACCATAGCGTAGGAAAATATTATAGAAGTATATCATCAAATAGCCGGATTTTTGTGTTTGGAAGAAGGGAAATAAACAAAATATTCGTATAAAAAGATCCTAAACCCAATCACGGATAGCATGCCCTCAGAAAAGATGGAAGTCAGGCTAAAAAAAACTATCACCACACATTTCCAGAAGAAATTTCTTTTCAGACATTTTCTCCCCATTCATTAATATGACCTACCCTTTCTCCTTTTAGGCTTCTCCGCTAAGAGTATTGAGGGGCAGTCATTTCCCGCGCGCCGCGCGGTGGTTAGCGAGGGTGGATTTGATCAACTCGATCGTTTTTTCATGATCGAGCATCCCCCCACGTCGCTCTACTTCTCCAAGAACGTCTAACACCCCGCTGACATTTCCGCTATCACAAAAAGCCTCACAAAGCCGCTGCAGCGCACCGATCGCGGGCTCCTTGCTGGTAAATCCCTCCGCCGTTGCCGCGGCCTCATTAGCGCTCATTCCATTCATCGCACGCACTATGGATTGGTAATCCGCATCAATCGCGTCAATACGACTGCGGCTGAGGTTAATATTTCGCACAAAGGGACGAATAAAAGAGTACTGCTGGAAGAAATAACGCAAATCCACAACAAAGTCTTTGATAACGGGAAAATTCGGCAGCGGACCGACCGTCGTGATCTTTTGTGCAAAGGTGATACAGGCGAGGGAGTTGATGCCGTTGATGTTCATCGCGCAGCTCCCGCATACCCCCTCACAGCAGGAGCTACGGAACGCCAAAGTGGGGTCCTGATGCGCTTTCACGGCAATGAGGAGGTCGAGAACCATGTAATCGTGACTTTTATCGTACTCGTAGCTCTCCACACGCGAGCAGTTTTTCTCTGGATCAAACCTCACGAGCTGAAGAACGGCTTTTTTGCTGGAGGAGCTGCCCTCTGCTACGGCGGAGCTCGTCCGTGATAAGCGGTGAACCATCGTCTTGTACGGCCGGCCGGCAACTTTTCGCAACATATTGTTTTTCTTTTACTTTTTTTTCTTCAAGAATGGAGTGTGTATAAACTATTCAATGTCTGTCTTTTTAAGTATGAATAGTAAAAATAAAGGAACTTACTAATATATATTTTTGTATGCGTCGTATAAAGTTCAACCCACACGCCTCTGATAATGGAGTGTGGTCAATCAGCAATATAAAGTATCTATACACGTAAATAAATAAAGGGAAAAAATAGCGAACAGGAATATTAGATTCTATTTGGTCGCATAAAGATGATAATAGGCATACTGGGAAAAGAAAAAAAGCAAGTGGCATCTAATTTAAAAATTAGCACACTCGCTTGCCGGGGGGAGGAAGTCTCTAAATTTCACCGTTCTCGGCATCCATACGCATACTCCCTTTAGAATCCACAGAATTAATAATAAGAAACCTAAAGATAAACTAAAGAAAGAATTGGCTCGCCTTATTCCTCCTCTGGGACGAAGAGCCCCCAGTCCTGGACCTCCAGAGTCTGCAAGGCACGCCGGATAACCCCATCGCGCTCCTCCGGCCTAAGCAGGCGCTTGACGACGGCAGCGTCGGAACTGTCCGGGTGGAGGACGACCGGGCAAGACAAAGAAACCAGTACCTCCGCAGCCACAGGCGGTCGAAAGCGAAGGACCGCGAGGCCCACGAAGACGTCGTTCTCACGGCCGGCCTCGTTTGTAAACTTCGAGATTTTCTGGATGCCGGTCGCCAGACAGGCGTACGCGCAACCCTGCCCCCCTGGGCCTGTCGTTCCCCGATGCCCTCCCCCGTCCCCGGTGGCGACGGGTGTCACAGCAACGGCTGGGGTGGTCACAGGGCAATGAGGGGAGTCAAGGGTCATAGAGGGGTTAAGGAGAGGGAGCCCCGTCAGGGCCGCGTAGGCGCTGGGTGGGAGGACGGCGAGGGTCTCCAGCCGGACCCCCTCCGGGGTGCAACCGTTGGCCTTGGCGAGGTCGTAGTAGAAGAACCGGGCGGCCTCGTCATCACGGACCTCACGCTGTCGTGCGAGGAGCTCGACAATGAGAGTGGCCCCTGTTGAGAGGTCGTGGAGGACCTCCTGGTGGTCCGGGACCTGGCGGAAGTCCGAGACGTTCTGCAGGACACGTGGAACTCGGCAGCGCATCGCCCCGCCAAATAACTCCACCTCTTTGGTGTCGTGGACGTCCATGGGGAACCCCCTATCGGGTGCTGGTGCCGGTAGTGTAGTGGGCTGAATTGTTTGCTTTTGGTATGGGTATATGTATGGATGAATACAGTTCTTATGCTGAAAAAAATGCATTTTGTAATGATATATGTAAAAGAAAAGGAAGGATTAGAGAAAGAAAGGGAGAGAGGTTATGGAATTCGAATGATTCCTTAAACACTAGAAGAAACTTAAGTGCAAGAAATGCTGATACGAGGAATATGGTACATTAACGAATCGTATTCCAGTTTTTTTTTTGTTCGTTTGTCTTGTGCATATTGTGTGTATGCCAAGAAGGAGAAAGGGTGATAAAGAAAGACAATCAACGACGTCTGTCCTCAAGACTACAAAGTCAAGCTACTGCAAATCCACTATCAATATTCCTTTCCTATTGCACACTTCTTCTCCATTCCATACAATACCACACTACTCCCTCCCCTTTAGGCCTTCTTAGCCATTCCTTCCACTCCCTTCCTCTTCCTTCGTTTAGCTTCTCCTTCTGGAAGTTTCATCCATTTGTATTTTCAAGTATTCCACCATCTTCGCATTCGTCGGCCGTTCAAAGTACCGCGTACGTCGCCGCGAAAGTCTTAACAACCGCACGATATCTATCAAATGGCCGCGAATCAACGCGAAGGCGTAGCCAAGATATAACAAACACATCATAATTTGCGCATCAAGCAAGTTTACACCTCCTTTTTCAAGCAATTTAACACGATGTTTGAGAAATGTTGAAAGCGCAGCGGCCCCAGGAACTTCGTGGGAATCCAAAAAGCCGCTTGAAAGTGCAAGATGGAGTCTCATAACGCAGAGTTGGATTAGATTCACCCCAATAAAGGAAAGCAAAATAATTGTAAAAGACACGCTGAGATGCTGCCAGATACGATGCGCAGGGTGGTGCTCGGAAAAGATGCCAAATAGGCTCGAAGAGAGCCACATCTAGTACAATCAACGTGAAAAAATGTAATATTGCACCCTATTACACACCCTTTTTTTTCCTCCTATATTGATCAAAGCACCCTAATAATAATATAATAAATTTTTTTTGTTGATTACCTCTTCCCCACCACTTCCTGTACGACAGGCACACAGTGGTTCAAAGTGAGGCCGTGGCTCGTCTTAAAATGACGCGCGTGTGATGAATTTTTTTAATGATAAGATATATTTGAAGATACCTTAAAAGAGAAGAGAAAACGGTGATGATGATCATTTTTTCTTTTTTGTTGATACGATTGTTGTCTTGCTCCCCCACACACACTACCCCCTTTTTTGCCTCTTTCTCCCTATCATTGCTGTTTTATGGTTTCTAATCCTAAAATATACACCCGTATCCGTGTGCACAATGCGGTCGTCAGATTTTTAACCAATCGTCGCTCGATTTAGAGAGGGGGAGAACTCCACACCGCTCTCAGGAACGCTTCCCTTTTAGTTCCTTGAGCTCATCCATTTTCTGCTGAATCTGTTCCTGTAGTTTAAGGCTCGCGGCGTGAATCACCATCAGGGCGGAGCGCTTTGTAAAGTATAACGCGGCTTTATTATCAGGCGGGTTCATCACTTTTACGCGCTCGACAAGTGCCTCGGGGCTCGCCATCGCGGCGATCTGGGAAGGCGTGCGGAGCCCCGCATTCCACAGCGCCCTCGCCCGCGGCGGCTGGATCCCTTTGATTTCCATCAACGGCAGTAAATCCGGCTTCACGCCGAAGCCAAGCCGTTTGATGAAGGAGGTCAAGACGGCCTCGAGGGAAAACCACTCCATCGCGCGGCAGAAATTGGTAATGGAGCTGCTGTACATCGAGACGGAGCGCATTAAGGCCTGGAGCTGCCCGCGCTGGACGCGATAGCGCCACTCGACCTCCGCCAAAGGGACCTCCGACAAAATATCCGCGAGCATCATCGCAAGGTAAAAGCGGCGGGCGATAAACCAATTCTGCCGGCAAACCTCCCCCGCGCACGACGCCGCGGTCTCAAACAGCGACGCCGCGAAGAAGGAAAAAGAGGCGGCGGTGGATGGAGGGGTAATCCCCATCGCGAGCTGGTTGACCAGGTATTCGTCCACGCCAATCAGGTCCGCGATGCGCTGGCGATCGTCGTCGAGTCGGGCGAGGTGCTCGCGGTAGAGCCCCCAATCGCACTCCTTCGCCTCCCGCGGGGGCGCCATAAAATAGCAAAGATGCAAATCATCCGCGAGAATGACCCCGGTCCGTCGAAGACGATCCAACTCCTCCCGCACAAAAAGCGCCTCCTCAACGTTAAAGCAAGAGCGCACGGAAGAAGCCCCAAAAGGGGTCACCCGCAGCCGAACCCGACGCAAAGAAGAAGAAGGCGGTGCCGCGACGGGTCCCTCCGTGGGCTCGTCCTTCACAACAAACCCCTTCGCGATGAGCATCGCCAGTGTCGCCTCGACAAGGACGTGGAGCACGCCCAGCGGCGTCATCGCCGCGCAGAGCTCCTTCACGGTGGCTGCCTTGAGCCCTTCCGCCGCCTTTTTCGCCCCCGGGCCTTCGGGGGTTCTCCCCACCAACAAGCGCTGAAGAACGGTAAAAAAGGCCTCATCGACAGGCCCGGGCGCGTGGGCGAACCAAAGCTGCCGCGCCCATCCCGCCATATCCAT